TAATTTGTTTCTTTCTTGTCCGGTCAAAGAGTAGTCATGGCAATATAGGCACCCCTTTCCCAATACACGGCGTCACAATATTAATCCCATTCTTACCTTAACTTGACACCATAGCCGGTTAATCGAAACCCTATTTTCCCCGTTACATGTCGTCTTAGATCACCAATTTGCCGGCAATAAACCATGCCCCGTAAGCCAAAGAAAAAGAGAGAAGAAAAAAATAAAAAAAAAAAAAAACCACAGTTCGTCTTGTTTTCCTTGACATCGTATATGGCTCGATTTACGACAAGGTAGGCGAGGAAAACGAACCGACGATGACGTCTAATGCCGAGCGGGCATGGAGGGTAATTTGTTAGGATAGTGGGGGTGATGGAGCGACAACACAGCAGTACTTCAAAAAGCTAGGATGCTTTGAAAATGTCTGAGTGTAGGCCATAAAGTAAAGTGGTATGGATTGTGAAATATTTCGCACCTGCTCAACAATATCAATGGCCCGCTATTAAGCAATCCATATTTGAGGTGGATCCCTTTCCCAATCGTTTGTCACGAAATTGTTTTTTGATCATTTTCTTTTCCGTTTGTTTTGGTTTTCGACTCATGCACTGGGAGTAAATTCTAGCTGTTATCAGAGATGGGCTTACGAAAGATGAGAGACTCATGGGATGGCTGAAGTTACGCGGCTCTTTAAAAAAGAAGAAATTTCCATGATGGCAATAATAAAACAATTTTATTTTAGGTAATATTGTGGATAAGATATTCAAAGAAAGAGAGAGAAAAAAAGTGTGCGTGCTTGTTTTTTTGTGTGGATTTGTATTGGAGGGAGGGGCTTAATGTTTTAAATTGATATATGGTTGAGTTTGTCGATATCAATTTTATTTATTATGTTAACGTTGTTTCGTATCCAGTAAAGTGTATCAATGGGATTGTTTTATAAACATCTCTTGCTGTTGTCAGTCTGCAGCGCACTCCACGAATCATACACGTTGGAAGCACCTGAAAAGGTGGATATTTTCGTTTTAATGTTAAGCTATTTACAGAAGTCATCAATTTGAATTGATTTTTTAAATCTCTTATGTCACAGTTGTTCCCATTTTTTTCTCGGTCATATTGTAGATACGTATAAATGGGTTTTTCAGCGACTCGTTGTAGAAACACCCATTTGCATCACATAGTCACAGGACAATGAGAAAGATGGAAGACAAAAAATAAAAATCTTCTCTTTGTATCAGGACTGAGTATTCTATTTTCTACAAACTGTCACTATAATTTCGATTGCACAGTATTCTTTCTATTCATTCCATTTTTTACGGCCGACCCCTTTCTGTCTTTTGTATTCTGACAATACATACAGAGGTATGTGGTGCGCCTTTCCTGGAGCTTCATGAAAGGTTGGTTATTTTTGGTGTCCCTTCTTTCTTCCCTTCTAATTAATCAATCAAATTGTCCTTGCCAAACTGGGTCTCGATCTGACGAGGTAAACAAATTTCAGGCCTTCAGTTGCCGGGAAATGACGAAAGAACAATTTCACAAATATGCGAGACAAACTGAACTCATGAATATTATATCGGCAAGAAAAAGAGATGAAGCATGAATGCAAATGATCAAGGATATGAACGATAAAGATAAATTAGGGAGGGAGAACTGCGTCAAAGAATGTATAAAATGAAATTGACTCCAAACTTTTGAATGATTCATCACGTCTGAGAAGGCGAGGAAAGATTTTGGGGCGTGCGCTTGTATGAACTAATTATATTTTAAACACACTAACCATTTAATGTTGTTTTCTTATTTTCAGACTTCGCTTGTATTATTCAATACAAAAATCATATCTACATAAGCCACCGCACGCTATAAAACTTGAATACGATGCGATATCGGAAGAATTTGCAATACCATTCGATGTTTAATTATTTTGAATGTGATGTAAAGTAAGTATGATGTAAATTGCATGATTTTGAATATGTACTACCTCCGGTATAGAGGAGATAAAATACCTTATAAATGAAATAACAAAGATATGAGCATTCACAAAATAATTAAACTATCATATGGCTGATGAACTGTATAGTCATATATCAAAATAAATACTAGTGCCGAGGGATTCCATGCATCTTTGGAGAACAAGAAGATAAATCGGCTCAGAATCATGGTGACGTTAAAGCCAGTAGTGCTATCGTCTACGATTTTGAAGTCGATTCTGCTTTTATTATAACTGGAAGAGTTAAGTCCACTAAAATTTCAGTTGTTAGTATTCAATTATGTATGTAGAACATGATTCAGGAAGATAATGGTTGTTCAGATTCCCATTTTCAAATGCAATTGCAATTTTCTTTGAAAATCGGATCACAGTTAAATGTCTTGGCAAAATAAGGTAATATTTTACATTAACAATACACTTGCATGTCTTCCTACATTCTATCTTGATTAAATATCAAATCTCAAAAATGATTTTAGTTCATTTCAAGATGAAATTGCCCACAACTAAATTTCATCTTACTGTCAAAAGACGTCTCCTATTCAACTTACTCGCATACGAGAAATGTACAGAAAGCAACGGCACAATTTTCTGGAACGAACTCGTTAGAATTAAATTACTGTTCCAATTCAACCTCTCAACATCATCATGAAGAGGCACTCCGAATAATAAACGAATTTTCTTTTCGATCATTGGCTTTCAAAGTCTATACAGACAATATATATATACGGTCGTTGCGACGTCGCGTCGCACAATCACCGAATGTTCTATCTAACGCACAGCAAACGAATTCTTCACAATCAAGTTTATAGATTACATTGCATTCGTGGCGCTGTCGCGAATGAGTATTGGGCGATTTAATGTGCTAAATGAACGAAAACTATCTGAAAATGTAATCATGCCCAAAATAGAATACGCGAGAACCGATGTTTCCATCATATGAGGCTTTGTAAAAACAAGCTGAAAGGTTATTTCAGTATCGTGTTTCATTCCATGGGAAGATCTATTGCCGCTGAAAGGATAGCAAGACCGTTTTATTTCTTTCATTTTGTGTTTTTATGTCCAGAGATTTAAGAAGAATGCATAACAATTTGTTGTGCTGAGGTAGGGTGGGGGTGGGGGGGGGGGGGGGGGGAGAAATGAGTACCATTGACGAAAAGGCGAGTTCAGATTAACGATTGACCGGAAAACACTACAGAAATTTTGTCTCATACTCCCAGGTGTGTTTATTCGGACGATGCGCTGTAAAAATCGAAATTAATGAAATCAAGACAAAAGAAAAGCATTTGCTACATCATCCGCTCGGCTTGCACACATTATCAAAGAGAACTCCTTTGTATACCCAATGTACCCAATGTTTAGTTTTAGTATTGATAAAGAAACAACCTTTTGCTGTTAATTGAAGTAAAACTCGACATGTCCAAGGTATACGTTGCATATTTTGTACAAATCTTTTCAATTGGCAAAAGTAAATTAACAGTTACATCCCAACCTGGGATATAAGTTATATTTTCATTATTTGGTGTCTTCATTATATCTTACCTTTCTTGTAAATAATACTTCAATTTTACTTTACGGGTATATCGTTTTTTGACTGTAGATGCGAAGGTCGAGGGTTCGAATCCCGACACGGCACTAATATCCTTTGGCAAGATATTTACCTGCACTTGCTACTCTACACCCAGGTGTTAAATGGGTACCCGGTAGGATGCGAACGTTCATGTGGTTGAACGAGCAAGTGTGCGCCTGTAAAATGGCGACTGGCTGGAATGCTCCCCAGGGAGTGGAAAATGTGCACACATTGTGTGCGGGTAAGCCTGAATCCGATGACCGGGGTAATAATATATCTGTAAAGCGCTTAGGTACATCGTTGGATCGGTGTATTGAGCGCTATATAAAAAACCGGATTATTATTATTATTATTATGAATGAGGCCTTTTTGACGTATTTTGATAACCCTGTACTTGAATATTGTCAAAGTTATCCAAATTATGGATGACAGTATACAAATGCATCAATTGGGTTTTTATATGTACCTTTTCCCTCAAATCATGTTTTCAAAATTCAGACTTGAGGAAATTAAATTAGGTTTTTAATATTTATATTCTTAGATTACTCTATCAAAGGAAATCTTCAGAAACAAAACGATGACTTAAATCAATTCCATAATTGGAATAAATGAAATTTCATTATAAGACACAATGATCCTCTAAAATGTTTCCCTTCAATGCTATAACTCAATTCTTTGTGAATGCTACCAATATATTAATATTACCAAAAAACACTTTAATGTTGACAACATAAAAATAATGCCCATGTTTAAAGTTGATATAAACACAAGAGCAATTTTTGCTTAATATAATTATCACAATCATTTTTGTATAAACACTGGACATGCCGCTTCGAAAACAGCGGGAATTGCCAAGTGATTTTAATTAAACCTGTCAGTTAGGGAGCGATTGTGCTAAATACAGGAAGTATACACAAACACATTTCGTCCTCAGAACATGTAATTACACATTATAAAGTACAATATTTAACATATCTTAATTGCTTAATACTTGTCCTTGTTATTGTTTCGGTTAGACGGTAGTTAAACATATTTAGAGATGTCATCGATAATATAAGACAGAAAGGGGGCGGGGTCGCCTAAATCCTACATGCAGCATTTAAGAGTCCCCAGCTCATAAGTATCGGCCACGTCTAGCTGGGCATCTCATTATAACATGGATGACACACATGCATGCTAGGTGTACAGGGCTATTTCAGTATCATTGGCAGTTTCTTTCATCGTAGGACGATGGATTTAAGGTGGCAAAATTCTATGTTATGAAGGTCACAGACGTTCAGGTTCATGTTCCAACTGTAATGAGATATTGATTTTTTTTAGCTTCCCATTCATGCTTTACGTACTATGTTTCAATTAATTCATGCTAACGTACTATGTTTCAGTCAATTCATGCAACGTGTGCATGTCATTGAGGTGCTGAATCACGTAGAAATAAATATGCTTCTGGAAAATGAATTTTTACACTCAATCATTTTATTTTTGACAATACTTCACATGACAAATCATTTCATCAGAAACAGTGCATGTATCCATCATACAGCTTTGTTACATAAAACATATTATTCGAACACCGCCGTAGTTTTTAATAGCTCAGTTTCCGTTAGAGAAATAATACTTCTAGAGCTTTCAAAGGGTAATCACTAAAACCATATACAAATTATTCCTTTAAAAATTATAAAAAGACTTTTAGAAATATGACATATAGTTTATATTTAGATTTAATATATATCTGTATATGATATTTTTTAATAATTTGGCCATACAAAGTTTTCTTTTGTAGCTAATTAAAAAAGCTCAGTAGGCTATTCCATACAAGTTGACATTTTCTTCAATTTTTGTAGAAGCTTCGTAAATCCTAATTGAAGGTTATATTTCATATTGGAAATTTGCTGACTCAGAAATAATTTTAGAATTGTACTGGCTAATATTTTTGATTTTGTGGATTCATCATTTTAAATCTCCGACATAACGAGATGTAACGAGATCGCAAAAATACAACGTCAATAGCCTGGAGAGATTTCAGGATTCAGGTCAGACCAAATATTGATTTCTCTCTCACAACAATGGAAATCTCATAAAATCGCATATGCAATTATGGCCAATAGGGTAACATTTCGATCTGCCCGATCTATTTTGGTTCATCCATAACGTATATATACACTGCATATATAAGCAATTTTGAAGCTCTATTCGCGATCATCCCTTTTTTTCTTTTCGTGCTTGGGGTAGACAGTCGCATAATACAAAAGTAATACTGTTGCTTTAAACTAATCCGAACCCATCAATAATGGAAAGCGATGGACCAGATCAAATACAGAAACTGCTGAAATCCAACCAGTTTGCTTTTTTTAATGGGCATACATTTTCAACCCATATTCATAACATTTATGGAAACCGTAATCTTAAATAGCCAAGACGTAATCTTTGTGGGCGCTTAATTGTCAGCTTAGAGAAATGTGTACATTTTCTATATGCCACCTCTAAAAAGACAACATTTAGTTTATTTGTATATACACATCCTTTTTTTAAAAAGCATAATAGCCTCTGACCTATAACAAAAAAAAGTCGTATGAATAACAATGGGCATCATCAATTGTTAGAAACCAATGATTTCGTTGTTAGGATGATAATAATTTTTTTTAGGGATAGGAGTTTTTTTTTGCAAGTTCAAGGTTTTCTTGTCGACATCCCAATCTGCTTTAGTATACCGAGGAATCTTATAAGTAAAGAGCCCTACCTGAGCTGTAGGATCGAACAACAAGGAGAAAAAGCATCACTTAAAGATGCTAATCTTGTTCAATTGTTGTTCTCTTTCGTAACTTATGGTTCAGCAGATAACCAATTAGCATAGATTTACGATAATTGTATTCAAAATCTAAGTCAAATGTTTTTATCCACTTTGTAAAAAATTGCACATTGTTGTGATAGGCAGCATATATAAACTCAACCTGTGAATGAGGCTGTTCATTTGTCTTGTATGAGCCAAATCTATCAAAGTGATCGAATTAGATTACAGAAATATACATAACGTAGTTTTAATTCCAAGTATATGTGAAACATCGAAGACTTTCATGCATTTATTGATATGGTCTTATTCAAGATCTACACAATTTGTTGCAGATTGATATTCAAAAAATATTTAAAACATATTTAAAACAGAGTCTACATCACATTGCCAATAATGAAATTGCTTCAAATATACATACACGGGATTTGTATTTAACATATATTTCAAAAACAACATCACAAAGTTAAGTAAAAAATACCTAACACGTTCATGCCACACAAACCATTTTATATATAGTAATATATATATATCACTTTCAACAATTAAAATATTATTGTTTTACAGGTGGAGGCTGGATGCGGCAGTCTAGCTAACACATAACGTTTCTATGCATGGGGACATAATATAAACGCATGACTATGAAGGAGGTGGTGCGTGTCCCACCCTCTCCCATGCTCTGACGTTATGATGGCACCATAATGAATCAATATGGTCGACGCCATATCTTTGTGTGCCATTCTTACCTGCTGGGAAATGCGAGTGCTCTATGCGTTCTAACAGCCTAACAGCCTGGCGCCATTTTTCTCATATTTCAATCACTGGAGGCATTGCCATGCCGAGTGGCACCCTGGAGGGGCTGGATTGATACCAGCTCTCTATTACAACACTCATTCATACACTCCTCATCATCATGCTCCATCATGCTCATCACTAACCATCATAATTCATACACACCCACACAACATACGCACACACATCCGCTGTAGAACACACTCAATCGTATCAATGCGTTCACACGTTCAAAAGACACAACTCACTCCACGTCATGTGAACATATCATTTTTTTGAGTTGTAAGCATGGTATATGTATGCATGGCTTACAGGTTCACCATTTGAATTTCTCTCTTTAAAACACAATGTATTGGTTTCAAACTTAAGGGATGAATTTTTTTTTTCCTTGAGGCGTGGCGAAATCAAGATTACGGTTAAGCAAAATCAATCCCAGTATGACATAAAGCGGAATAATACCTTTGTTAGTATTAAAAAAGAAAAGGATCAATTCCTCTGTTCCTTTGTATGTAAGATTTTTGCAGAGATCTACAGGAGCAATGTTGATTCAATTAATTACTCATTCCTAATAGATCAATATGGAATACTATTATTCATGGAAAATAAACACTGCAGCATTTCACCCAAAACACTGCAATTTATAAGTTATAAAATTAAGCTGATGCACAACGATTAAAGGTTCACTGCTAGAATTACCATCACATTGTCTTTTTTGATAATTTAAAATAACGGTTTTTCTTAAAGGGGGATTCAGGGTTTAACGGTTAAATGAATTATTCAACCATAACTTTACGAAATATCAGTCAAAATGATCATATTGAGCAGGGGTATTGTACTCAATTTGAATTTGTATAAGTTTATCATACAGCAAATTGTCATCACATATACCTTAGCTAACCAAAATTGTCCTCTGTATAATTATACAAGTGAATGATATTTTTTTCTCCATCAAGACAAACTGCCTCGAACAATTTACCGAAAGATGCTCCAAACAAGTTAGGGTTCCCTTGTCCACACCTAAAAGGTCTTTACATTGCCTTTGAAAAAAATCAGCCTCCTCCATTGCGAGTTATCACGAGATATGATCTTTGTTTAACCAACAGGAAGGGATAAATGTTCTCCGAGGCGGAAACATTTTGCATAAGGTCAATCATTGTCTGAATCGAAATTCGCTGCCTTTGAAATATTTAAATCCCTTCCTTTTGATATCGTTGTCTCTGTCAACGTTTAATGGGTGAAATAGAAATGCATGGATATAGCATGGCCCTCCCTGCAGCATATTCCACTCTGATGATTCAATCATTTTCTTCCACGGACTTTGTCAACGCACATCTTAAGCGACGGTTTCTGCTTCCACAGCTTCCTCCTTTTTCCTACTCTTATCCATATATTACTTCGTTGTTGAAAAGGGTAGTTGTTGTAGTAGCTTTGATAACGTGTGCTCTAAGACATTGATTAATATTTGAGCTGCTTAAAAAAAACGACCACCATCTCGTTCCTGTTCCCATCTAAATCTGCGGAAATCTGATCCATTGCGGTTCACTATCTTTTGCTGACGGACAAGAAGCTTCATCTTCTTACAGTTACAGGGCAAAGTATTCATTTGCAGATTTTCCAAAAGCATGCTCGAAGAAAATCTTGATCCTCGATTGGAGAAAGACGATGCTAGCCACTGCCTTTGGATAATCAACCCCAGCTGTTGACCTCACGAGTATTCACCGCTGTATCGATTTAGCTTTTGGCTGCATTCCGTTCAGCAAATGTCAGCGTCAGGAATAGAAAAAGAAATGTTGCAAATCTTGTTCTGAATAGCTTGGAGTTACAGGTAAAATGGAGCTTGAAAAAATATCAATACCGTTTCGGGCTTTACATGAATCATTGTGCACAGCGAAGGTACAGAATAAACGATTCGACTGGGAGATGTAAGTTACGAGAATTCAGCAGAGGGTTGAAGTGTCATGACTTGACTTTTGACTTGAGTTTTGGCATCATGGAGCATGGTATTAATTTACGAAGGCTTCTGTCTTTAACTGCGAGTTAGAATTAAAGATGGTTCTGATCACTTTTACATTCTAGTGTCGGCTTGGCTTATTTTAAGATACTCCTGTGTGGTGGCCTGAGTGGTCGACTTGTTCGATGGTAACCTACGTGCAGAACCTGATGTGTTAATGTGGAATGCTTGCTTAAAAGCATCCCGGTAACGATTGCTCATTAAGGTGTATATTATGGGATTGATAACCGCGTTGATATAGGAGAGAGATCTCCCGGTATACGTAAGTACGTCCTGTGTCGTCGAATCCCCGATGAAGTCATCCCCTGACAATGAAGCTATCATGTTTAAAGCGGAGACAATTTCGAATGGTGCTAAGCAACAAAAGAAGAATGTACCGTTTATCACGAGCATTCTCGCCACCTGATCTCGCATTTTCGTATCGTTATCCTTGGTTCCGCCATGTACGCGCAACCTTTCTATTGATCTGTTCAAACCTCGGATGATCTCGATATAAAGCACTACGTTGACAACAAGAGAAATAAAGAAAGGGATTGTCTGCATACCTTGCGCATAGGAATTTATCCATTCGTGTAGCGGATGGCACAGCGCGAACGATTCAGGATAGTCAACAAACTGGTCCCCAGGAGGCCATGATAAACATATTTTGTTGAAGATTAGATTGGACGGTGTTAATGAAGCAGACACTATTGCCGATATAATCCACGAAGCTGCAGTTACAACTGCGGTTTTGTGAAATTGGCTCGCTTCACTTTTTTTTTGAGGACGACATACTGCGCAGAACCGTTCAACAGATACCAGGGTTATGAAGAACAAGGAAGCAATGTAAGCTGTGTCAGACAGTAGGAATACCCAGATGCAACCACTCCGACCCATAGGGTTATCGTCATCCCGAATTCGTGAGAAAGCGAAACGCCAAACTTTCTCTCCAATGGCCATCAAAAGAAAAATGATATCAGAGATCGCCAAATTGAGTAGGTAGCAATTGGTGCAAGTTCGCATCCGAGGGATTTTGAGCACGACATAGATGAAGGCTAAGTTGTCGAGCACTCCGACCACCAGAAGTAGAGGGAGGAACACCGCGATGTAAAAGATGTGTCCCGGTCCATATGTCATGTAAGGGACATAATCAGTTGTCACGTTAAAGCTTTCCCAACAATCCGGATCCATGGATAAATCGTTGTTCATCCTCCTAACGCGATGAACTTTCTAAAGTGGGCATGGTAAGATTGTAACAGTTTATATCAAAAAGCACGAAGTCATGAAGTGAAGAGGGAGAGAGAAGCAAGGCACAATATATTTGCAAATCACTGTCGTCACTGAAGTTGTACGTGTAATATCAGCGAACAGCGAATAGGCATCCATCCGGCGCATGCGCCTACGCAATATTTCACGCTCCATGCCTCTCATTGGCCAGTTGTGCATATCGAAGTCACGGCACAAGATGCCGCTACGTTCCAATTGGCTGCCAAGGTTTCCACAGAGGCCAAATGACTATTCACAATTCACATTAATTGGTCTGCCTGGTGATATCTTTCCCTTCTTTCAGCGAGTAAATCCCTTACAGCAACACTTGTGATCTTTAACGGTCTGTATCACTGGTCACCTTAAATGCACGTTTTAAAATAAAATCCATGTCATTTTAAAGTAGCGTTGCATCTTTTTTTCTGAATTTAGCCCCCACAAACTAAGACGCACTTTAAAATCGAAATATACAGTAATTATCAATAAGTGGTGACCCATTCATTTTTCCAATGTTTACTGCAAATGTTTATCGACAAATCCCATAAGTGGATAAACAAAATGTATAATACTCTAGTTCATGAAAACTGAATAGGTATTCTTTGTTTGTGAAAGATAAATTATGCTGACGACTCACAATGATTGACCTTTTAATTCTATGTATTGCCGTTCTTTAAGATCATGGCAACAGAGAGAAGGGTTAATTACCAATCGTTATTTGTATTAGAGTACGTAATCAATATCAATTGAAGATGTCGACGTTTAAAATTCAGAACATTTTATTTACTATCACTTTAGTATCTACCTTTCCATACTTTATGCAATATTTTTATATTTATGGCTTAAAACAATCGGTCTTCTTCTATCTTACCCGATTTTTTTTTCAAAGGTTTTTTCTAGAATTTACAAACAAATTATATTAGGACTCTTCGTATTAAGGAAAATGACAGGTATACAGACGGTATTTACAAAGTCCAGGATGAAGTTCCCAAGCCAAAATATATCCTTAAAATGAAAAGCAGACGTGGGAAAAATCAATTTTATGTGCATTTTATAGCTCATTTACGATCCGCCATGCGCTGCGGCAGCACGCTATTTACATGCATGATGTGCTCCTGATGGTGTGTAATGTTTACGATGCATACCACGATTAGGCACTTGCCTAGAAAGAGAATGGGGCTCACTGTCTGTCTGCCAAAAAGGAAGTTTGGGTACCCATGTGGTAATGATTTGTTGAAATCTGGTGTTGTTTTTTTTAGAAATACCAAGAGTCAAGTGCATCGCAAGCTAAATGTATGGTTCATTTCACTATTGTTTAGTCACTTAATTGAAGAAGGAATTATCAATGACGTCCGGGGAAGGAAGGAAAAATCGAAACTTTTATGTTTGGGTATTTCTAGTTTTTAGGAATAAGAATGATATCGTCATTATGAATGTTTTTGAGTGTTACTACCACTGTTTGTTTCCTACTTTGTACAATACAAGATATTAATATCTAGAAATTCCTGTACAAGACGAAATTAAGCTTAGTTCTTTAAAATTGGCGATCAAGATTCAAATCAAATTAGGGACGAAACAAAAGCCTAACAATTTTCAATTGTACACCTAGGTTTTTCAGCCACCACTGCTCATGGATAGAAGAAACACCCATGTACGAAATGCTTTATGAAAAATAATTCATTGATTTAGAAAACTCTATTCACGAATTGACTTTAGTTCCTGGATTCGCATTACATCTTTTTGAAAATATACATAAAGGAAACTAACTAGGCAAAATTATGTCAATTGCTCGGTTTTTTGTCGTATTTGCAATCCCTATGGATGTAGAATGAGTGATCATTCCCACATTTATATCGTTGATTGTGCGCGTGTCAAACAAAAGAGGGCCTGCATCATTCATTTTCTCGGTCAGGCATTTGCGACATGAAGCTAAGCGATGCGACTCTGTTTTAGCACCTCCGCCCTTTAAAGCAAACTTGTGGAAAAAGGGAAAGCCAATGAAAACTTTATATGTGATTTAATGTTCACAGAACAGGCAACTTATGGATGCATTAATTAATTTTATATGTTTTTTTTTCGCTTAGTTAAATCGCATGAGTTAGCATAACTGCATTGGAAATGAATATTGTATCGTAATACATGAATACGACATTTCGATAAATTAATACAAGATGCTTAGTTCTACATCAATTTATAGGTACAAAAGATACAACAATTCTTTTTTATTTTTATTTTGTTTAAATTAAAAAGTGTGTAATCGTGTAGGTTAGTCCTACGCAAAAGACGCAAATCTCTTGAAAAAGGCAAAAACAGCTTCATGTAGAATATTTTGACAAAGTCTTTTGCCCTTTTCCAGGTGGTTGTTGTGACCTTCATATTTTTTCTTTGATATGCAGAGAGTAGACTCTTTCCTGTCTTAAATGTCTTTTAAGTCCGAAAGTATATCATTATCTATATTCAACGCCATGCAAAATACATTTACGGGATTTTGTAACATTGTTCAGATTAGAGAAAATGGTGCTAAGGTAGTGACTTCAATGGTAAATGTACAATTAAAGATAATCTGAGTGAAAACAAGTTTGAGTGAAAACAGACCATTATTAATGATAACAATTGGGAAAACTGATCTGATCGATGTCCTAATTTTCCCAACTATATTATCACAATTTAATTACATTTCAGGTGAATATAAATTGTCGCAAAGCAATAAATTGGCTCTACACACCATTTCAGACATTAAGGTATTGAAAGATTTTTAAAAGCCTGTCTTGGGGAAAATTCAAAAATGGTTGGGAGAATTTACTGTTAGAGGGCGTCGCACAGTGACGCCTTCAAAGAAAACCATAAACATTTTTGTAGTTTGAGAACTTTTCAGGATTGTTTGCATGTTTGCAGAGCGTTAGTACAGTAGAAGGATTATGATTATTAACATTTCGTACACAAATTGCGCAGTTTTTTCACCAACCTTCAACAATGTTACCTCGTCACTTTAATGTTTGGACACAGGCATTACGTTATCAAACTGCCTTAATTTTCCAGTTGTGACAAAGTCGTGGCCTTTCGAAGTGCTTCTTTTGACCCGGATTGTCTGACAGACTGGAGCAGCTGAAAGCGTTAGCATCATACTGAATATTTGACTCCTTTACTACTCACTTTTATACCCGAACCCATGTTGATTTCGTGCTCGGTATACGAAGTTAAATTTAAGGGGGAAACAAGAGAAGCAGATTTGTAAGTGTTAAAGATAAATTTAATAAAGAAAAAGAAATGAGTGAACGTCGAAAATTAAGATCGCAAGTGATAAGGGAAACTAGCATGTTTGTCTGGAACCCGATAATAACGTGTAATTGTATACGTAGACAGTTCTTCACTTGTTTTAGTATTACATTTTGCTCACATATTCTGGCTGTCACTCATGTACCGGTTTCCTTTAATGATAATAATAATAATAATAATAATAATAAGATACTTCTATACCGCTAATTGCACAATGCCTCTAAGCGATTAAGAAGGGAAATAGGAAACAGAATTTGCATTACAAATTACATCAAATCACATTAAAACTTTGTAAATGAAATTAATACATGTACATAACTACAATCACTTACAACCAAACAACATAAAAATAGCTCACATAATGCCTTTGATTGACAGGAGTATATTTCTCCACTTATCAGTAGTATAATATGTGTAATTGTCTTCCAAAGTAAAAATATGTTCTATTTATGAATTTACCTAAATAATCCGGGATAGCCACAGTTTCTTCCTTTACAAGAACACGTTAACTTATGTTTATATTTTCTTAAGCTTCATTATTAATGTCATACATGTATCTCGGCAAACATGGATGGTCGAGGTCAGAAGCTGTCAACTACGACCGGAATGATTTAAATAACCAAACCGTATTTTGGCACAATTAGGCAGATTTTCAAAAGACGCGGTACGCAGAATCAATTAAATTTAAATTCATAGAAAGAAAAATGATTTTTTTTTTTTTAAAGATGTGCCCCTTTTTTCTAATCTACCCTTTGCTAATAATAAACATACAATCATCCAGTAGCTTTCAGGGTGAAAATGTTCTAGAATTATAGCAATTTGCTGTTAGCAGGACACTGTAATAATACCTGTCCCGTCATATTTCTGCTTGAATTTACATATGATTTCAGCTAAAGTATCTCAGCAGTGAGACCTAAACATCCCGTTGTCTATATAATTCATCAGTAAAACATATATATATATATATATATATATATATATATATATATATATATATAGTGTGTGTAAACTATTTCATCAATGACGAGAAAACAACATATCGTATATTTTTCATCACAGAGAAATAAACATCTTGTCGTGTCGAATATTTCATCACTAAGAAATGAATATCCTATCCTTTACCTATTTAATTGCTGAGATTGAAATGCTGGACTCTGTCTATTGAAAGCAATCTTCCATCATGATTAAAGTCAGCATTATGCGTGTTTTCTCTCTATGCCTGAGCACAAAAAGTGCACAGTATATATAGGGTTGCTCCATCTTGATCAGAAGTGAAACAATCCGCCCATTTCCAGCCGAAATTGGCGATCCCGTTTCGCACTGACACCAATTAAGAAAGAGCAAATTGCTTGATTGCTGACACAGAAGACGTCCGGAAATAGAAAACTTCTCCGAAAGCGTCTTTGTTTCTCCAAGAATATCCCCTGTTGATCGATTTTAGTTTGATATGCAAATAGGTTAGATAGAGTTTTTGATTGGTGAAATGTCGGTCTCTTGATCTCACGGAGTCATGGTAGTTGGATAATGACATGGCTGGAAAGTCAAATAATATGGTGTCAAACTAGACAGGAGAGAAATCAATAAACTAAGAGTATGGCAAACATGGGTGTCCTCCATATATACATATAGAACTAAATCGTTGGTTGTGGTTATTTTACCTGACTGATAAGAAAGCATAAATGCTTGTTAAAGTAAACAACCAGACGGCCGATGGCTTTAGGTCCTCTCCGAGTGACCTGGAAATGAGGATTAATGCCTTACCAAAGGGCACTATCGCGCATCGAGTTGGTTTCGAACCCGGGTCACCGGTTTACGAGACCACTGCTCTACCGACTG